TATTCACGTATCTCTGAAATCATTCAATCTGTACATGTGCTTATCTCTCATTAATAATTATCAGGAATGTCCTGTTAAACTTAAGTTAACTATGTTAACTCATGTGAATGATGTAACGGCTACCATTAGTACTCTGTTAAGTACAAGTCAACTATGATAACATATATGAACGATCAAACAAAGGTGTATGCTACTATATGCTATTAATAGATCAAGTGAACTATGCCATTTCTTAATGAATAATTAGTTAAGACCACAGATTGTTTTATACGTTAATAGCTGCTAAGCATTATGATAAACAACGGATTGACTTACGGATAACTCAACCTGAAAACAGAATTAAATATCAATGACCTTGTCATGTGACTCACGTTATGATGTAAACTGTTCTGTCTTTGTTATGTGTACTGTAATGACATGATATAACAAGAAATGCTCCATGTTCTGATATGTTACGTTTTGACTTAATGAACAGTTGTCCATATATGTAACTCATGACATCCGTAGCACACGGCCCTTACCCGGGGGTAATAATACTGTGGTTCAAGGATGTTACAAGTTTACGTATGTTACAAGTTTACGTATGTTACAAGTTCAAGTATGCACAAGTTTAGGTATGTTACAAGTTCATGTATGTTATAAGTTCTCAGTATCGGGGGATTCCTTTATGGAACTAACAAGAATGCTTTATATTGATTTGTTAGCGCTAGCAAAGTGCAAAGTATAATCAAGTATGAATTCTGATTTTTGTTTATGATTCAAGTATAATGCATATGTATGAATTTGTTTCCGTTTATGGTTTGACATGATATGTATGGTTTGGTCTACAAGACCTATTAATTACTGGTATGGGACAAAGTGCTACTTGGAACAAAGTGCTACATTGTGAGCGACCTCTAGAGTCCATGTGAGACACCTCTTGAATCCATACATGTATGAACTAAGCTTAAAGCCAATCTGGGCCTATGGCCATTCTATATGATCTATTAGGCCAGAGGCCATTCTGTATTTTTGGTATGGAGCAACGTGCTGTACGGAACTAAGTGCTGCAATGCGAGTTACCTCTAGAATCCGTACGAGCCACCTCTTGAGTCCATACATATGTGAAAGTTATGAGGTCTGAAAGCTGTTCTGTGAAAGTATGAGGCCTATGGCCATTTTATATGATCTGTAAGATCTGTTAGTATGAAACAAAGTGCTGTGCGGAACTAAGTGCTGCAATGCGAGTCAACTCTAGAATCTGTGCGAGCCACCTCTTGAGTTCATACACACAAGTTCAAGGGCTCAATGCCAACAAGTTCAAGGGCTTAATGCCAACACGTTTAAGGGCTTAATGCCAACATGTTCAAGGGCCTATTGCCACTCTGTTCAAGGGCTTAAAGCCATTATGTTTCAAGATATTATGTTTTAAGTCGTTATGTTTCAAGACTGGGCCTAAGGCCGTTATGAAATTAGTGCAGAATCAATTAACCTTATGCCCTCTTTATTTATGTATGCATTGATATGTATTATACTTCAAGTTGAGCATTGAATCATTTATGTACTATTATTCACTGAGCTTCGCTCACTTTGTGTTATGTCTGTTCTGTAGGTAATTACTTTGGAAGTTCGTCTTGACCCTTGATGCTCACCCTTCAATTGTTAACCTCAGTATGCCAGACTCCCAGACCAAGCCCATGCATTTATGTGAAGTTTTGTTAAGATTTTAGCTTGCACTTTAATTATTTACTTAAGGTTAAAATGTATGTATATACCCCCTTCTTCACCAATATTCGGATATACGCTCATTTATATGTATAGGTATGTATATAAATAAATGGCTCTCACGTATGTGATCCTGGCATGTTAGTTTTAGCTCAATGGATGTTATTCTATGTTACTTTGTAATATTAAATGCTTCCATTCAGGCCCCTTATATTATGTATATCAGGTTATGTGTCCGTATCTACATAGGTCATGCCCGAACTTTTAGGGGCGAGTTTGGGGTGTGACATTTGGGAAGAGTGGGAAGTTGTCCCCCCGATTTATCGGTCCCTTTGAGATCCTTGAGAGGATTGGAGGGGTTGCTTACTATTTAGCTTTGCCGCCGCAGTTGTCCGGAGTGCATAACGTATTTCATGTTAGTATGCTTCAGAAGTACGGGCCGGATCCATCGCATGGGTTGGATTGGACCGACTTAGAGGTAGATGAAGATGCCTCGTATGAGGAGAGACCGGTACGAGTCTTGGATAGGCGGGATCAAGTCTTGCGAGGCAAGACCATTCCCTTGGTAAAGGTTTTGTGGAAACATCACGGAGCGGAGGAAGCCACTTGGGAACGTAAGGCGGATGTCCGTGAGAGATATCCGGACTTATTTGTAAATGTTTAACCATGTATTGGGATTTTGTAATATTAATGAACTTTAAGAGCATTAAATATGTCTTAAGTTGTAAAACATTGTGAATGTTTTGGTTTATGGGAATATTGTGGAACTTGCCTTGTAATGGAAGTTTATTTTAACATTGCATATGTTAACTCTGTTGTAGAAATGCAAATATAATTTTAGCATTGAAATTGTTTTGTGATGCATGATGATAATGCATGTTGGAGATTATGTTGGAAGTTTGCCTCTTGAATGGAGATGGAATGACCGGTAATGGGTCAAGTTGTTGAATTTTACATTGTAATAATGTTGGTAATTAAGAAAACATGTTTTTGAAAAACTTGTACTTAATTTCAGGGACGAAATTCTTTAAGGGGGGAGGTTATAGTGATCCCGATTTTTCTTCCTTTGATTGTTATATTCCGGACTTAGGTTCCGTGGAGTTGGTGGTTGTATATCTTGTTGTTATCCTTTAATTCCGTGTGTTTGAGTTTTAGGATGTATTGGGTGTGTTTCGAATAGGTTGGTTGAGCCTTAATCTCATTCCTTGTTGCCCAGAATTTTGGTGGTCCGCTCGAGCGGGTCCTTTTGCGCTCGAGCGTAGTTTGTTTTTGTTGTTGGTCCGCTCGAGCGGGTCCTTTTGCGCTCGAGCGGAATTTATACACTTCCAGTATCTGCGCCTCTGCAAAACTTCTGCAGACGTGTTTTTCACGTTAAGCGGGTTCCCTTACACTCGAGCGGGTAGCGCTCAAGCGGGCTTTTTGTGCCCGAGCGGAGTGTTCAGTTTCTGTGAAAATACTGGGAGGAGAGAATCTACACTCGAGTGGACTGGTTTTCGCACTCGAGCGGATGTATTCTATTCTTTTGTCTTGGCGCTTGAGCAGGTCTTCTTTACGCTCGAGCGGGTCCAGTTTTTGTGTCTGACGCTCGAGCGTCCTATTCTACGCTCGAGCGGGTCATACGTATATTAGATATCAGCTAGGTCTTTTTAGATCACTTTTCAACTTCCACTCTCTCTCTTACTTTTCCGAAAAGCCATTTTTGAGAGCTTCTTTCACTACTTTCTTCCTTCTCTCTTAGGATTGATCTAGTAGGAGTGATTTTCTACCCTTGAGCCTTTGTAAAAAGTGTGTTGATCGTTGAGGGCAACATTTTGATCCGAGAATCTTGGGATTTGGAGCATTTTCGAGTTCTTCATCATTTCTTTTGGGTTTCATCTCTTGAGGTAGGGATTCCTACTCATCTTTATGATCTTTAACCTAAATGTAGAGCGTTATATAAATGGTTTGGTTTGGGAAGTTAGGGTTTGTAATGTATTCTATTTCAAAAGAGGGGTTTTGTCTTTTTGACTCATATATATATATATATATATATATTTGGGGTCTTAAAAAGAGATTATTGGTGTTGTTGGTAATATTTGGACCTTTGGGTCGATATTGAGTTTAAAGGGAAAAATGCCATATTTGGGTATATTCGAGTCATTAGTGTAATTAATGACATTTGTTATGAAATTGAGTTGGAGATAATGAAATTTGATCATTAAGAGATAGAATGGTAGAGTTGGATTTATAAATCGCTCACTTTTGAAAATGTCAATTATATATCTTTTGAGACATTTATTATCTGTTTAGAAATAATTGTTTTGGACTATCGGTGGAGGATAGTCTTGATTGTTGTAGACATTGCATGATGATTAGGTGAATTAAAACTAATCAAGTTGTGTATTTGAATACATGGGTGCCGAATCCCGCGGATGAAATTTTCGTAAAATGGCCATTTGAATGTAATTATACATGGGTGCCGAATCCCGCGAATGCAATTTCCGTAAAATGGCAATCCAAATATATCTATACATGGGTGCCGAGTCCCGCAGATGAAATATCCGTAAAATGGCCATAAGAGAATGAAAACACATGGGTGCCGAATCCTGCGGACGCAATTTCCGTAAAATGGCAAGTTGTAGTATTGTTGGCATGAGATGTAACCTCATTTCAATTATTTGACCAGGTTCTGAGCCACGTTTATAAGTTGAGTTTTGTTAAGTTGAACATTTATCAAGTGCTAATGTTTTAGTTATTGCTCATATCATGTTTAGCATATTTCTACTGGGCGTTGGCTCACCCTATATAGGACATCATTTTCAGGTACAGGTAGCATGCCACCTCCAAGGACGTAGCTTGAGAGGCTTAGTGGCTGGGACATCTTTTGTGATTACATTTTTGTATTACATGTATATCAAGCCAAGGGCTTCTTTTGTGTAGTGTTAGTACTCTCCTTTTGTAACCAAATGTTGACTTGAAAAGTTGTAAGCCTATAGAGCATTTACTTTTGTTGTCAACATGTAATACATTTTGTAAGAATACTCTGATGGTTATAATATGAGAAGTCTTTTACTTATCGTGAATGTATGCTATGATGGGTTTATTTTTGAGGGCGTTACAAAAAATGTACCAGAACATAACGACCACATCAATCACTAGAGCACAAGACAAGTGAAAACATATAGTCAATCGCTAAAATTACATAGCTTATCTTTTTTTTTCTTTTTCCTTTTTTGAGAACACTGAAGATGCATATATTATTGAATTTCCCAGCAAACAAAAGCATATGCAAGAGAGAAAAATTATGCTCATGCTCATGCAAAGAATAATTCCACGGAGAGGGGATTTACATATATGTATATGTTATATTATTGTTGGTTGCAACTATGACGAAATGCTATGTTGCTTACAGACAGACACGAACCAGCATCATTGGTGTGTAAATAAAACAGCATTGATGTGGAATTCTGAACCAACAAACACCAACTTTTAACATATTTCACAGAGGTTACTACGTTCTCAAATCCACTTCGAAGTAATTATTGTAAGTAGCAAACCAACCCAAACACATGTAAAACTACAAATAGTATACTGATATATTGACAATAATATAAAAGCATTAATCTATTAGTGGAAGAGCTTCCCCTCCAAACTTGATAGAGTTTGAATTGCAGATTCAACAGACAGACACCAGTTTAAGGTCATGGTTTCCTCATGCACATCAAAATGACACTTGTGACACCACCTTGGCTCCCCTTCCCTTGGCCATGTAAAGGCCTACATGATGCATCAGTTCCTGCCACACAAAAGAAAAAATGATTAAAAGTGTCGACAAAAGTGGTTAGTGGAGTGGATTTGCCACATCCTAAATATCTAGACATTAGCTATAGAGCTTTTCCATCTTCACTGAATGCACTAAAAAAAAAAAAATTAGAGTGAGAGAGCCCAAAAACAAAAGGCTTCCTTTTTAAACCTAATAGCTACATAATTTCATCTTGTAATTTAATATTTATATACTTCATGATAAATATTTACATTCCGATGCCTAAATCAGAAAGGTTCAGAAGAGAATAAAAATGAAGCACGAGAGATGGATGGAGAGAGAGAGAGAGAGAGAGAATAGTCTCCATTCACTGTGTCCCCAAACCGTGAGGGTTGATGTCCTTCTATAGCCACGCTTGCCTTGCTCTATAATGATTCCTCTTCCTACTAGGAATGGAGTCCCTTGAGTAGTTCTTTTCTATTCTTTCGTAACTCTAATTCTTGATTTGGTTGGATTGCTTCCAACCTGTATCCCAATCAAACCACCATTTGACGTGGCCTTCTCCTTTTGTCACATGCTAGACAAGTCAGCACTGACCAATGGTGATGCCTCACCTCAACTAACTATCTAGCTAGATTTTTCCTCTCGTAACTTAAATCATATGACTTCTTTTCCTTAGATAGCAATTATCCTTGAAACCTTAAGTTTTAGTGAGTTTCCCCATTACACTATGAGCCTACCAAGTGACAACTAAAGCTTATTTTTGTGAAAAATCTTTTCCAATTTATGCTAGATCCTGTGTTATTTGAGGTGTATTAATTATAGTTGTCGAATCGAGAATTATTTCGCGAATCGATATACTTTTCTGAATTGTGAATCGTGAATCGAATCGAATAGATAATCATTAAGATTCAATACAAAGTGTAATACAAAACAATTATTAAAAAAATGATGTTGAACAATGGTATATATGGACCAAAAAAATAAAATAAATTGATTTTGATACATTATAAAATAGTTCTTATCCAAGGACAAGATAACATTATCTAATTGTTAAGACATTGTTGTTAGCATTAGTCCACCCATATGATAAAGGTGAGTCATATAGTTATTAGGTTAGTTTATACATGTATTTGGGGTTATGATAGTAGAGTCATATGTGTAGGATTTGATTACCTAATTGTGTGGACTAGGATTCTCATGAGTAAACTATTATAAATAGTAATGTGGACTATAGGGTTTCTCTGAGAGATTGAGGTGAAGGAAAAAAATAGAGATGCAAGGGGTTAGAGAAAAAAATACCGTGAGGCAGCGAGGCGAGCAAGGGCTCAACTATCTTTGAGCATGGGGCTCAGGTAATATAAGTTTTGAGTGTTTTAGTCATCTCACATATAATCTCTATTTTATTCATAGTGGAAGCTCTCTCTCCCATATATGTAGGCAATTTGGGTCGAATCATGTAAATCTCCATGTGATTGTTTTTCTCTTTGGTGTGTGCGTGGGTGTGCTTCCATTTACGTTGGCGGGATATGGAATAAATCCCAACAAGTGGTATCAAAGCTAAAGGCTAAGAAGCATGGATACTTTTAAGAAGGTGGCGTATCAGTATCGTATCCATGTCGAACACCAACACTCTTTGAACACTCTTAGGACACATGTCCAAGACTCTTCAAAACGTGTCCTATTTTTTAAATTTTTTTAAAGACCCGGACACTCTTTGAACACTTGGAGGACACACATGTCAATAGCTTAAACACACATGTCTATCGATTAGACACATGTGAAACTAATTAGAAATTTGAACAAAACAACTTAAGATACAATAATAAAACAAAAACCATAAAAATGTATAGGAATTAGTGTCATATTGCATTTTTTATTATTTTTGAATGATATATTCATATATATAACATATAATAAATATATAAAATTATATATTTCTTGCGTGTGCCCCATGTGTCGTGTCCTGCATTTTTTGAAAATTAACGTGTCAGCATGTCCGTATCGTATCCATGTTATGTCACGTATCCATATTCATGCTTCTTAGGCTAAAGGTTACCGATCCTAGGTGCAGTTGGTAGAGGGTGTGGCCACTACATATGGAGGACTCGCACAAAAGAGAAAGAAATCCCGGGTGGTACAGGAAAAAAAAAAGGTTCAAATCTGGTGAAGACTTTCGCAAGAAGAAACATGGTAGAAAATTCACAGCGAAAGTGGATCTCAAGGTTTTCAGGGGTTGCAAATTCATCAGTACAATCAAAATTTTCATATTCTAAATAGGTTTAAAGGGATTGGACAGATTCAAAAGTGATCAAAGGTGATTGCATGTGATTGCATGTGATCTAGAAGTAATCTGATTCAATCAACAAGGAAATCCAGTCTTTACCAAGTCAATTAGACGATGTTTTTCCTGATTGGACATCATGATTAGCAACTTGTACAAGCTCGTGGAGTATACTATGACAAGAGGGAAGCTATTGTCTAGCATTAGACGAGTAGTATAAGTTGTGGGTGAACAGTGGTGCGCAACAATTGCAAAGATATTTGGTGGCCACCAAGGGGAGACAACAGGTTGCCTGATGTCCACGGAAGGAAGCTTCAAGCATAGAACTTGAGATGGTTTCGCGACAAGATGGTGTACACCAAGGGAGGACGCGAGTCTCTTTTCTATGAAAGTTTTGGTTCTTGGCAGTGGAGACACAACAGGGAGGTGCGATGGATCCCATGGGCTCCATCATGAAGACAAAGAAAGCCAAGAAGGACGCGTTTAAAGCACCATTGCGTGAGGTGCGAATAACATAGGCACTTGGTTCAATTGGTGCAACATCTTCTAGGTAAAGGTGGAGTGTATTACGCAAACTAGGACATTCAGGTTGGAGGATGCACGTAACATTTACCCCACATGGGTGAAGAGGGTGATTGTTAGGATTACTCCAACTATGTGATAAAGGTGGGTCCCATATAGTTATTAGACTGGTTTATACATGTATTTTGGTTAAGATAGTAGAGTCCAAAATCTACTGGAAATCCTAATATATGTAGGATTTGGTTACCTAATTGTATGGAACTAGGATTCTCATGGATAGACTATTATAAATAATCATGTGGACTATAGGGTTTCTCTGAAAGAGATTGAGAGATTGAGGTAAAGGGAAAAAAAATAGAGATGTAAGTCGCGAGAGAAAAAATATTGTGAGGCACCGAGGTGAGCAAGAGCTCAACTATCCTTGAGCATGGGGTTCGGGTAGTGGTGTAGGTTATGAGTATTTTGGCCATTGCACATGTATTCTCTATCTTATTCATAATGGAAGCTCTCTCTCTCGCATGAATATAGGCAATTTGGATCAAACCATGTAAATCTATGTGGTTGTTTTTTCTCTTTGGTGTGTACATAGGTGTGCTTCTGTTTGCGTTGGCGGGATATGGAATAAATCCCAACAAATTGTATTCGTAGTAAGAGATGTGGGGTGTCCAAATTCCACCAACCAAAAAATTATTTAAAAATCTTAGTATAATCTCTTGTAACATCCAAAAAATGGACTTAGAAACCCTATATAGAGCATAATAAGAAGAATTAAAATCTTTTACTTCAAAACCTAAAATACTTTAAAAGGTATGTATGTGTATTGTTGTTCAAAAAAAAAGTTATTAAAAAAAATACAGAACCATTAGGTCTGATTGCCCTAACCCAGGCAATATTAAACCATATTCAATTCATGAATTGAATAGATAAGTTCATGGGTGTAAATTACTTTAACCTTAAATATTCTTAGAAGATGTATTATGAGCCTTTATTTTTTGGGGGAAAAAAAGAAGAAGAGGAAACATGATTCAAAACATATTTGTCCTGATTCTATCCAATTGGATCCAATTAAAAACTCTAATCACCAAAATAACAACAAATTATGCATAGCTAATGGTTATTTATTGTTTGGCTATCTCCAAATAAGCTAGTTTCTGGCTAGAAAAGCCAAAAGTAAATAAATTGTTTGATTTGGCTAAATAAGTAACTTCCCCATAAAAAATCAATTTATTGAGAATCTCATCAGAATTGTGCAAAGGCGATTTTACTTTCAAGGTAATTGATTATGTTAATAAGGGTTGTACAATGCTCTATTTGATTTGCTAGAATGAGATGAAATAAAATGATTATTCCTTGGGATTCCTTATGGAATGATTTTTCCCTTACAATGGTGAATAATGATTCCATTTGTAATGTATTTTTTTTTATTTTTTTTAGTCAACCAAACATAAGAATTGATATTTTGATGGAATGATCATTCCATTCCACTCCATTCTAATGAACCAAACATTGCCTAAGAGTAATATGGTAATTTCTCACCAAGAAACCAAAAGGGTAAAAGACCCACAAAACTTTCTCCATAACAAAAAAGTAACCTTTTTTTAAGCAATTACCAAATGATCAGCTTCTTTAGATTCTAGAAAACTAAAAAAATAAAAAATAAACTAAAAACCAATTGTCAAACACATGTAGAATTCTAATTCTCATCGGACATGCATCCAAATGTGTCGTGTTATATTTTAAAATTTTCTTTGAACCAGACACGCTATGGACTCTTAGGGAACACATATCTCCATTGCTTAGACAAATGAGAAACACATTTCAAGTATAAAGAAAATAACTTGGGATCCAATGACAATAAAAACAATGTGAATTTATACCCTATTAATCTCTCCTTTTTTATGCTTCCAAATTTTATGAATTCTAAACTGCAAACCTTTAATTTGTTTATGAACAAACAAGCTCCCTAAAATACGTATGACTTTATGTTCATATTTATTTTCCAATATGTTGAATCGGGAAAATGATTTGTTACTATTTTGATATAATAAATATAAATGTATTTATCATGTAAAAATGAAGCAAAGTATTATTAGTTTCATGTATACATATAAAAAATACATATATTTTGTGTTGTTGTTGTCTCCTTTTTGTATTTATTTATTTATTTATTTTAAGAATTGCCACGTTGTTGTGCCTAGGCTATATTATATAGTTTTCGTGCTTCTTAACTCAGCTAACTGAATGAAAACTTCATAGCAACCATTCACAGTCAACTAAACCAATATTATCTCCCATTCATCTTATTTTGGGGTCATTTTTCTACCAAGCAAGGAATCGATAACTTCTTTTCCACAGCCTTAAACCCAATATCTTCGAGGCCTTCTTGCCTCATGGCCTTCAACTTGAAGTAAATTGCTCCTTGTTCATGCAACTATTAGTTTCTGTAACACAACCAAACCATCTTCATTTATATATAATTTACTCTTAAATCCATTGGCCACTCATCCATCCATAAATCTTCATTTATGCTACAATGATTTTATTTATGCCTTTTATTTAAAAGATGAAACATGCCAACCTTATGCCCATCTTACAAAAGTCTCATCATTCTCATTGATAGCACGATTCAAAATATTCCCCACTTCATGCATCCTACTTTAATTCTATGGCAAGTGTCCTCTCCAGCAACCCTTCCTCATGGATGACCAAACCAAGGCAATGAAATCAATCATTTTCAAGAACCTCAGGAGTCAGGACCTTTAGAATAAACTATTTTTTCATTTCTATTATTAATGTAAAAAAATGCAACCAAAGTATTCTATGTTCAGCTTACTTTTGATTCTTAGCATCTTCCAATTCATAATGTACCCATATTTGACTATTATTGATAAACATCATACAACATGGGTCCTCTACTAACTATTCCAATTTAATTCATTTGAAGCAAATGAAAAATGGACCCTTACGTAAAACTATTGATTGGACAAAAAGAAACCAATCCATCATATATGTCCTGACTATTCTGATTAATGCATATAACCCATTGTATAGAGATCTCAATCTAATCACTACTAACAATAGAACCATTCCCATATTAAAGTACAATCAACGAATCACATCAATTTTTAGGTGTAGTTGCAACACGATTATGTAACTATTATTTGTCCGTAACAGTTAAGAGACCAAACCTAGGGGATCTCATCTAACTAACTATCAAATCATTGAAATGAGAAGCAAAAGCAACAACAGCCAATACATTCTTAAATACAAGTTTTCAGTGAGACAAAGCTTTTTTATGACAATTTACAGATGAAAGCAGGATTTTCTCAAAAGCCTCTGCCCATAAAACATGGACCGTTCATCGTAGCTGCATCCTTACACCCCATGGCTTGTTCATTTCACAGTTTTTTTCTTATTAGACACATTAGGAACACATCACAAACACACGTTTCCTACCTCTAGATACACCCTAGGGTATGTTTGTGATTTTATATTTTTGATGGAGGATCTATTCATTATAAAATTAAATGGTTTTGACATGTGGAGGTTATGATTGACAAAATAGTATTTTTTATTTTGAATGTTGTTTATAGATAAGTAATTTTTTCATGGTAAATTATTTAGTTTCCTTCAATTTTTATTGTTTGTTGATAATAGTATTCATATACATAGCAAAAAAATTATACAAAAAAATAATTTTTTTATGTATCCCTGTTGTGTCCTAGTATTTTGAAAATCAATGTGATGCATGTCCGTTTTTGAGTTCGTGCTCGTATCCGTGTGTCTGTATCCATATATGTACTTCTTAACCCTTTACCTTCCCAAATGAATTGAAATTATATATATTAAAATATAGATGATGCCAATGGAAAGGAGGAAGAAACGGAGAAGGGAAGAACACAAGGGCCACAACCCCAATCACACAAGACCACAACTTTTAAACTCTCAACTCTATTAATCAATCTGACTAATACCATACTAAGCATTCTTATTTATCAGCTAATAACCCTAAAAACATAAAATTATAAAATTGTAATTTGTAAATAAAGTCTTCATGCCAAATTTGTTGCGTGCATGCATGAAAAGTTGAACTCTATATTCCGCACCATTCTCCCTGGTGGAGAAAAAAAACTCGACCTCGAGATCATTTTTAAATATTGAACTCGTTCACATCAACGCATCAAATACTTAGAATATACTATCTGTTTTTTTTTTTTTCCTTCCGAATCCTACTAATCTCGGTCCCTAAGTAGTTGATGAGGCCTACCAAACATCAATTGAACATGCAAAGAAAATCTTCAACGCCAATAAAATCAACCATGTCTACCTTTATCAAAGGATCAGTTGGTGTGTCGGGCCAACAAAAAGCTCGTCTTTGATAAAACCCTTTTTTAAGTGGGATGTGCTTGTCTTTCGATTATGACTTCTTGGACTTCAATACCTTCCGAATTTTCCATCAAGTCCACATCACCATTCGTGTGCTTTGGATCTCTTAATCAACAGTTTTCATTTGATCCTCACCACAATTCCTTTGAGGAACTCTTGAAGAATGCCCCCAAAAGTGAGCCAATAATTTCAAGTCGGTTGAATCATCTGTTCTGACAATCATGCACGACATTTCCTTATCTCTTGTTGGTCTTCAAAAATGGCTTCAAACTTTGAATAAAACTCTGAATTGGTTATCATGATGAAGGAAAAATATATATGGAAAAGAGGTTTTGTAAAGAACGGAGCCGAAATTGGGTCACTGGTTGCTAGATTGAATTATAAAAATTTGAGATTGTTTCATGTTGGAAGTTAGTGGGCTTAAGGGAGCTATATTGGACAAGGTTATACGGTTGTTTGGGCTTAAAAATGGGTTAGATTGTGTGGCTTAAATAGGCTAAGTCAGTTAAATTGGATAGAGGCCAAATTGGGTCGCGGGTTTATTATTGGGTCGAGTAAGGGTTATACAGTCAGTTGGTTGAGGCAACTTTGGTACAAAGACAGCGATGGAGATGGCTCAGAAAGGAAGAAAGGGAACAAGGGTTGATCGATATTACGCTTTGATACCAAATTGATGCAGAATAGAGAGGGAGAAAGGGGAGAGCTGAAAAACACAATGGCCACACACAACCTAATCACACAAGGCCACAACCTTTGAACTCCCAATTTCATTAATCAACTTTGCATGATACCATGCCAAGCATTCTAAAGAGAAACTAGAATCCCTAATAGAATAGGAAACGAAATATTAATAAGATTCCAATTAAACTTTGTTAAAATTCACCTACTCTCCACCTACTTCACCCACTTAAACCTACTCCACTAAACCTAACCCACTAAATCCACATACTCTCCACCTACTTCACCCACTTAAACCTACTCCACTAAACCTAACCCACTAAATCCACATACTCTCCACCTACTTCACCCACTTAAACCTACTCCACTAAACCTAACCCACTAAATCCACATACTCTCCACCTACTTCACCCACTTAAACCTACTCCACTAAACCTAACCCACTAAATCCACATACTCTCCACCTACTTCACCCACTTAAACCATATGGAAAAGAGGTTTTGCAAAGAACGGAGCCGAAATTGGGTCACTGGTTGCTAGATTGAATTATAAAAATTTGAGATTTTTTCATGTTGGAAGTTAGTGGGCTTAAGGGAGCTATATTGGGTAAGGTTATATGGTTGTTTGGGCTTAAAAATGGGTTAGATTGTGTGGCTTAAATAGGCTAAGTCAGTTAAATTGGATAGAGGCCAAATTGGGTCGTGGGTTTATTATTGGGTCGAGTAAGGGTTATACAGTTGGTTGGTTGAGGCAACTTTGGTACAAGGACAGCGATGGAGATGGCTCAGAAAGGAAGAAAGGGAACAAGGGTTGATCGATATTACGCTTTGATACCAAATTGATGCAGAATAGAAAGGGAGAAAGGGGAGAGCTGAAAAACACAATGGCCCCACACAACCTAATCACACAAGGCCACAACCTTTGAACTCCCAATTTCATTAATCAACTTTGCATGATACCATGCCAAGCATTCTAAAGAGAAACTAGAATCCCTAATAGAATAGGAAACGAAATATTAATAAGATTCCAATTAAACTTTAATTAAAAAATAAATAAAATAAATATAAATACTCAAGACATAATTTTTTAAAATTGTAAATACAGCTTCCATGCCAAAGTTGTTGTGTGTATGCATGGACATTGAACTCTATATGCCTCATCAATATATTTACAGTTTCAAGGTGAACTAACAACACTAACTTGTAGAGAATGCGCCTAATTATCTTACTTGTTTTTCATCCATATATGAGAAAGGTTTATTTACCTTTTATGTTTCAAGGAAAGGAACCAACATAAAGTCTCTTCGAATGGAAAGTAAGTTGAGATTTATCCTTCATTTATCACAGAAGGACAAACATTCTCTTGATAAAATGATCATTTATCACCACATCTAACCTTAGCTGCATGTGAATCAGGGGAGAGGGAGGGACCGGGGAGCGAGGGAACATAAACAAATCTAAGGTTGGGAGTGCCTAAGAGAGTGTTTATGTATTTTATATATAAATATATTGTAAGAAATTTTTTTGTTACTTGGTTGTACATATAGTGTCTACATTACAATATCACTTAAACTACTAAAATATAAGTACAGTGAATTCTCAATAAAGTAACAATTCATCACCAATAGAATACATCTTTAATTGAAAGATCTATCAAAAAATCACAATTCTTTAATTCTATATAGGAGAGTCAAAATCTATGATAAATGTTTGTTATCTAGTAGGAAGCATGATTCTATCTCGACCGAACCCGTTTATAACAAAATTCTTGCACTGGACCGCAATGCAGTTCTGGAATGAAAATGTCACCCCCATTAGCTATTCCTACAACTAGGCACCCAACACAAATCAAGTGAGGCTTTCAAGGAAGGCTCAAATGAGCAAAATATCTTTTGACAAGACTAATTACTCATTTGAACCTTGCAATTTCTTTTTTGTTTTATTATCTCATGCCTATTAGTTAAATTCTGCACATCCTAACTTTCCAGAATTCTCATTATGAGACTCTTATGCTTCCTGCCAAATCCCTCCCATGATAATTCTGCCATTTAACTTAACTCCTAGTTTTAACATCCCAACAAGATTAGCGACAACAAAAAAAAATTATGTTCCAACTTTTTATCTAAGTTTGCCTGTGGATGAGCAATGCCTTTGATGTTTCTGGCAACATGAACTGGAAGATCAAAAGTAGCACAAGCGCGAGAATAAACAATCACATCCTCCAGAGGGGTGAGAAAACCATGATTCCTTGCAGAGAGAGCAGAACAGACAAAATCTAGGACGCAGATGTCCGTGCATATCCCTACAACCAATATCTTCAGAAAGAAAATATGGGCCAAATTACAAATGCATTTTCACCATCATGTAAAGCAATAGAACTCAAATTAATTCCCATAGAGAGTCAATTTAACAATGCAACATTAGAAATGAATGGTCACTTTGTGGGAAATAGAAATACTTACAACTTTGATCTGGTTGGTTTTCACCCAATCTACAAACACATTGGAACCATCTTTCTCAATAGAACCGATAAACCCGTCAATGCAATCCTTGCATCTAAGAGTTACATTTGGTTCATGTTCCAACCACTGCAGAGCTAAACATAATAGAAAGAAATCAAGAAAGGAGAACAAATTATACAATACATGCTTCTCAAGTCACTACTAGTAAATTCATTGCCAAATTAATATATAGTAACTAAGCAGAGATCAAGCCAGACCAGATATGGAGGAGATGGAAAATACCAGGAACCAATTTTGATTCATCTGTTCCTGCTATACAGTGAGGAGGATAGGGATGCTCTGGGATATCAGGGTGATGAGAATCTAGAAAAGCAAGAACAGGCCATTTATTATCACAAAACACTGTGGCAAGCCTCAATGTCTCATCGACCATTCCAGAAATTTGTTTGTCGGGCGCTGTTGGAGCCTGCAGAGAAAACAATTCAACACAAATATATCATTTTTAACATTTTAATGGAGAGAATCTTAGCAAGTCAATGGCCATGTAAAATATAACAAAAAGAGGAAAAAAGCAATAATAATATGTTACTAAAACGATTAACTCAAACCAAAATTAGAATACACAGCATGCAAATATAATATAGTATAATGTCTATGAAGTAAAGGAGATCATTTAGAGCACAAAATAAGATCTCATTGATTACTTTTAGATAAATTACACTTTGCCCCGTTTATGTTTGGCCATTTTTCCACTTTGGTTTTCAAGTTTAAAGTTTTTATTAATTTACTCCAAAAGCTAACTTGTGTCCAAAATTAAACAGAAAATGACACTTTACAGTCAAGTGGTGTAAAAATATTTATTATGTATAGTTCATGCATCTTACACAAACCCAAATTCCAATATAATAATAAAATTTTTATGTTATGTGACAAATAATGTGACATTTTCTATCTAATTTTAAATAAAAGCTAACTTTAGATGTAAAGTAGAAAAAACTTAAAGCATGAATGGCCAAATGAGAAGGAAAAAAAAATTTAAAGGGCGAAAGTGAGAAAATGATCAAAGATAAAGGAACAAATCGTAATTGATACTATGACATTTGCTGATTTGATCAGGATCAAAGTACTTGGGAAAAAACAAAAAACAAAACAAAACAAAAACAAAAACAAAAACAAAAACAAAAACAAAAAAACAAACAAGCTTGACTCAATCAGCCGTTGGGCTAGTTCAATCGATTTTTCATCATTGGAAACAGAGGCCATGTTTGTTTCGCGGCTTGAATGGCTGGATTGGACTACCATAGCTGTGGGTCCCACCCACAGCATGTTCGGTAGTGAAATGGGAGAACAGCTTGATAGTCAAGGGCTTAGTAATCCCCCTCAGTAGTGGATTAACTTGGCTAGATTTTGGATGGAATTAGGAAAATAATAAGGGAATTGAGTCTATTTTATACAAAAAATTTTAGGCTCCGTTTGGTAAGCCTCTCAAATTATAATTTCACCCATTGATTTGAGTGTGTTGCTTGTTTTGAGCTTTCAAATTATAATTCTACACCCATTTCTTAAAACTCAATTCAAAACATAATCATTACTTTTCAAAACTCATAACCAAACACATAATTCAAAACTCTTTTCAAAACTCAATTCAAATCAATATTTTAATTTTTTAAATATTTTAAATATTTAAATATTTTAAAAATATTTTAATTTTGTTAAGATTTTAAATATTTTAATATTTAAATATGTTACGATTTTTTTAATTTTTTTAATTTTTTGAATATTTTTAAATATTACGATTTTAATTTTTTAAATTTTAAAATATTTTATAAAAATAAATTCAAACTCTATTTTATAAAAATATTTTTAAATATTTTAATTTTTTTGTTATGTATTTGGTTACGATTTGAGTGTAGAGTTGTGAAAGTAGTATGGAGTTTCGAGTTATGTGTTTGGTTATGAGTTTTAAAAATAATTTTTTAATTGAATTTTGTTTTATGTGTTTGGTTACGATTTGAGTGTAGAGTTATTTTTAAATTTAAAATATTAAAATTTTAAATTATTTTAATTTTTTAAATATTTAAATTATTTAAATTTTTACGATTTAAAATTTTTGAATATTTATTTTAATTTTTTACTTATTAAATTTTTTAGATTATTTAAATTATTTAAATATTTATGATTTAAATTTTTTGAATATTTATTTTGAAAAAAATTTATTTCATTTGTAGTATTTTCAATTAAAAAATTGATTAATGTTATTTTCTATTAATAATAAATTTTTTTAATTGAATTTTAAAAAGAGTTTGGTTATGAGAGTTGATCAGAATTTTAAATAGTGTGAAAGTAGTGTGTTTTGTTATGAGTGATAACAATTTGAATATCACACTGTAAAGCACACACCAGCACACAAGAAAGCTTAGTTTAATGTATTGTAATATACACTTCGGTCACCTTCTCCTCTCTATAAATAGAGAGAGCTCAGTCTCTTGTAACATAGAGAAATACAACAGACACTGAATATACATCACTGTCATTTCAGACCTTCTCCTCTCTTTCATTTCAGTCTTTATTTATCATAAATATAATTTTACTTAATTCCTCTCTAACAGTTCTCACGTTAACAAACACGTTAACAAACTCTTCAGTAACTCTCACCAATAATCACATCCACCTTAATCCCCCAAACAAACGTGGCCAAAAAGATAAGAACTAACTATAAGTTTCTTTTATATATCTTCCTTCATTTTCTCAGCAACCAAACAAATCACGAAAAAAAAAATCGCTAAAAACACAAATAAACATTAAAAAGAAATAATAGACACGTTCTAAATAAATGAAAAGAGAAGAGATATATGTATGTATGTATGTATGTATGTATGTATATTGAGATTGAGATTGAGATTGAAAAAGTACCAAATTGCCAGCTCCGACTGTGCAGAAGCCATTGACGACGTCGACGATAACCAGACCAGTTTTAACGTCTCCTGACACAACCAAAGATTCCTGCTCCACCGGAAGCTCTTCCTTCAACAAATCAATCTTCTGCGACCTCACCATTCTTCTTCCTGTTCCTGATTATATAGGCCCCGTTTGGGACTTCAGATTTTTCCCTTTTTTTAACACATCACTCTTTTCAAAAGTGTTCATTGTTTTTTAACTCGTACAGCAATTATTTATATCACTAATTTTGATACTTTAATGGAGCACTAATGACATGATAACAAATAAAAAAAATAAAAAAAAAAACAAATTAATACCAAAACATCACATCATTGTGGGTGGAGCTCATTGCCCCACTAATTTTAGTGCTCTAATGGAGCACTAATGACATGGCAATGAATAAAAAAAACAACAAAAATGCTAGAGGCCCAAAAATTCTACCAAAAGTTTTACCAAATGTCTCACGTGGTGTGGGACCCACATGGGACCCACATTGTGTGGGTCCCACACCCATGTGAGATATTTGGTAAAATTTTTAGTAGAATATTTGGAGTCTCTAGCATTACTCAACAAACAAATCAAGACCAAAACATCGCATCATTGTGGGTGGAGCCCACTGCCAACTAATTAAAGCTACCTTTAGAGCTCAAAAATTAGAGCTCCAAAGCATTTTCTTAACTCGTAAGGCCTAGGAACATATTTTTTTAGTAATTTTTTGATTTTTAGTTAAAATGTGATGTAAAAAAAATAGTATGTTTGGGATAATTTTTTAACTTTTTATCAAAAAAATGTGCAAAAAATAAAGAGAAATGAAAATCTTTTGTTGACTTTTGATTTTTTTTAATAATTTTTTGACTTTTTAATTAAAAAAATCATTTGCCAAACGAGGCTTAAGATTAGAATATTTATACATAAAAAAAATTAAGAAGATTGGATATATAATTTTAAAAATAATTATTTATTTTTTTAATTTAAATTTATTTAAATATATATAATTTTTTAATTTTTTTATATGAATATTTTATTTAATGAATTTTAAAATATAAATGGTTTGTATAATGAAAATCAGCCCTAAAATTAACTTACTAAACTCAATTAATTTGAAAAAAAAAAGTCAAAATTTATCCTAAACATTAAAATAAATACAATAAAAATATAAAGTAGTTTTCCTGTCTAGACTCCTTAGGTTGGGAGGATCTCCGGTCAAAAACTTAGGAAAAAGCCAAAATAAAAGAAAGCAATGTGGATGGATGTCGACGTGAATTAATGAATTTTAATTTAAAAAAAAAAAAAACGAAGTGAATCTCTGGAAGGTTCATGTTATGTTTGGTTGAGGAATTTGAGGATGGATTTGGAAAGGGAAATGAAAAAGGTAGGTGAAATGCGAATAAAACATACTTATATTTCACCTAGTTTCACACACCTTTTCTCTTTTCCTTTCTAAATCCCTCCTCAAATCCCTCAACCAAACACAGCATCACAGTCAGAAAGCAGCCGCTAGCTAGTTGTTTGAGACATAAAGCAGTTTTTTTCTCGAAAGCAAGTCCTTGGTACCGTTCATTGAAGTTAAAAAATTCGGTTTTATATGATACATAATTAAATGATTAGCGAAGTTTTTATAAAAATGAAACTAAAATTGATGTAGATTAAAAAGAAATTAAAAAAATTTATGTTACTCTATTAAATTTAGAAAAAATTAGTTTAGGATCTCTCTTCTATTTTTAGTAATGAAAAATATCTATAATATTATTTTATGATATTTAAGGTTCCTCAACCCTACACTCATATATCATAGAGAAATTTGACTCTCTCAAATCAAATCTCGTTTCTCTCTTTCTGCATTCCCTATTTCATCTCTCTTTCTCTAAATCCAAACCTCACTTGATCGAATCCTTAAATCTCTTTTTCGAAAACGAATCGAAATCGGAATCGAAATCCAAACCCAAATCCAAATCCAAATTCAGAGTCAAAATCGCATTCAAGTTCATCAACATCGCATAATTCTCTCTCTAAATCTGCAAAATCATCAACCTCTCATTGTAATTCAAGAACTCTAACGACGCAATCTAATTGTAGTGCCCTAGATTGTTTAGTTCCAGTTGGTTTCGCTAGAGAAGAGGTAACTTTTTCGGCAAGTAATCGACGAATTCAACCTCACTACCACCACCATCACCCTATTTTTGCTTCGGCTTCGGCCTCCAATTCCTTCTCGTGGGCTTCAACACAGCGAGGAAGAAACAATCGATTTCCTTAACAACTGCCGCGAAGTTCATCTTGCCGATGACGGGTATTTTCCAGCAAACCTCGGTAGATGACTTGGGCTTCTTACGATCAACAAGGTAAATGGTGATCTAGTTCGAAGATATTCCGATCTTCTAGCTTAGATCCGATTGAAAATTCTTGAAATCTTACGAGGCTTCGATCCTCACACTACCCATGTTAATTTCTCGCTCATCTTCGTAGAACACCACTGGAAAATTCGCTCCGCCACAAGGCGATGGAAAGGGAAAAAGGTCTAGTGGAGGTAGGCACTCAAGGAAGGTAGGTCTCTAGTTTGTTCAAATTTTTTTGGTAAGTCTCTGGTTGTTCAAATGTCTCTGGTAGGTCTTTGATTTTCTTTGATTTCTAGTTTTTAACTCCAAATTTATTGTTCTTATTGCATTTATGGCTCTGCTTTAGATTTTCTCTACATCAGCAATTTTTTCAACAAAATCAAAATTTCTCTGGAGAGAAACAGAGAATTTCTCTGGGTTTGATTTTTACTTTTCAACTCCAAATTGATTGTTCTTATTACATTTATGGTTCTGACTTTCGATTTTCTATGCATTAGCCATTTTTTCAACAAAATTGAAATTTCTCTGGGTTTGAGAGAATTTCTCTGGAAGTCAATTTCTCTGAAGATAATTCTCTGGGAAGTTCAAAGAAATTCTCTGGGGCAAATTTTCTCTGGATCAATTTGAGGGACCTTAGACATTATGAAAATATTAGATATCCTTTATGCTATAAAATCTTAATACCAGGGACTCTAAAAAAAATCTCCTTAAATTTATGATATTTATTATACTTTTAAATTTAAAATAAGAGAGATTACTCTAATTTATTCATAATTAATTGTCATTAATATTATTTTAACAATAAAATAATATATATTGCATTGAAATTGCTCCAACATTACTGATGTGCAATGGGCAGTGTGGAAGGTGAAAATTATCTCTACAGGAAAAGCGAGATGATAAGCATAATCCTTTGCAATCTACGAAGGGAAACCACTTATCAGTGATCATGCCTAACCAGGGTTGGTCAGGAGGACCCTCTGGCGATCAAATCAGCATATTGATTGGCCATAAATAATAAAACAAATATGTCCATTGAATTGATCTTTTTGCGTCACCTCCATTGTTGTTGTGTCTGTTTGTCTATTTATAACTATTCTAGTTCAAACCTCTTCCGTTGAATCTTTATTTTGATCGTAGGGTTTTGCATGTTGGTCGAGCAACTTGCCAACTTGCTTTATGTCCTTGATCGTTGGATCTTCGGTATTCTGATGGCTTAGATGATGTTAGGTAGGAGCGGCTAACTTGCTTCTCATTGTGTCTGGACGGCTTAGATGATTTCAGGTGAGAACGGCTAACTTGTTTCTCATTGTGTCTGTAGGATTAATTTGATCGGATAGTCCAGCTGCTTCCTAGGTTCAGTTTATACTATAGCCTTGTCAGATTTATGTTCCTACCGTTGGATAGGGCTTAATCTAACACTCATCTTCCACTTCACAGATTCGTCTTCTAGAAGACTATCTTCTATTTATCATGTGTCTTTTGTTGGATGACAAGCTGTCTCCAGATATCCTTTGCGAGCTTATAGCGATACGTCTAGGCTCTTATCCTTTCTCTTGGTAGGAGTTGGGCTTTGGGCGTGGGCTCATATTTTTTTCCCTCCATAGATAACTTTGACATTCAATTTTTTATTTCCATGGAAGCATCATTTTTGTCCGTGGCAATAACACCAACTACTAAAATAAGAAAAATGTTTGACATCTCGATCCTTAATAAAAAATTATAATTTTATATATAATGATGTGAAATGATAAATGTTAATTTTGATTTGTCACATCATCAGGTGTATTTGAGGGTCTCAAATGTAGGTCTCTAGTATTACCATTACAATAATAAGCATTCACACTCTGCTTGATCAATGAGAAAATAAAAGAAATTATTTGAATTTCTTACCTAGGTGAAAAAACAAAAAGAAATGATTGGGTTTCTCACTTTCTTATTTAGATAGATTGTGATTAAAAGAGTAATTTTGGCTTCTCACCAAATCTTACCACTTTTGGTGAAGTTTTGCGTGATTTGGCTTTCCCACCATTTCTCTTCATTTCTCACTCACCATTACTCACCTCATGAATCATCCAAACAAGTGAGGACTCCATTTCTTTTCTTTTCTTACAAAATCCCTTGATCTAAACTAGAGGTGGCAAATGGATGAGTCAAAACGGGTTATACATCTAAAGTAATTCAACACAACTTGTCTATTTAATAAATGGACTTAACAGGTTGGGTTGAATTGGATACGAGTTGAATGAATGAACTCAACCAACCCATTTACCTTTTTTTTCATTTTTTTAAAAATTATTTTTAAATTTTTTTTTAAAATTTTAGAAGTAGTGATAGAAGTATACTAATTTAGATGGACTTAAATGGATACCCATGTCCAATCCATTTAAGCCCATTTAATAATCTAAACAGATTAATATAAATTTTAAATGAGCATAATTGGACGGGTTCATGAATTTGAATTAGATTTGACACATTAGATTTGACACCTCCAATCTAAACCTGAGTGTTAGTGTTTTATTGAACTAGAGACGGTTGCATCAAGGCGCCTGGATCCTCTGGGGTCAACCTTAGAGAAGTGTTCCTAGAGGATATAAACACCTCGTTTTGCTTAAGAAAAAAATATATTTGTTGCAATTTTTGGAGGCATCTCGCTTCCTCTTCGTATTTTACTTCTTCCCTTTCTCTCGTCATCCACCGCCTCCTTCCTCCTTTTTCTTGCTCCCTCGAACCCTAGATAAGGCTAATAAAATGAAAGTAAATTTTGAGAATCTCAATAAGAAAATGCCTAGTTGTTGATCAATCAATCCTATATATTATGTTTTCAAATTAAACCCCCCTACATACACACACAAAATGTACAATTTCATCGAAAAATTGTCCAACACTCTGCAAATAACGTCGTAATTCATTCAGAGGCAATTTGGAATCCCATACAAAATCTGCCAATGAAGCGAACCAAAAGGCTTGGTACAGCCTAACAAGTCTACAAATCTCTAGCAGCTGAAGTAACGCTACCCTCTCGCAAGTCGCCGACGAGACACAGCCCCGACAAGGGTGTTTATGAAAATTATAGGGAAGAATTGTCCAATTTATCATGTTTCTAGATCTACAGTTTTGGGAGGGGAAGAAGAAGAGAAAAACAAAGAAGATGATGAGAGATGGGGTGGGGAGGACAGTAGGGAAGGAGAAGGAAGAGCGAGAGGGGCGAGAGCTCCGACAGTCTTCATTTGTTGGCTTCGTTGCTAGCGATCGCAGAGGGCATTGGCAGTCATCGACGATGTCAGCGAGGATAGTGTGTCAGCCTCCGTCGTCCACCAATGATCCTCTAGAGTGTTTTTTTTCTAAAATTTTTTAAAGAAGTGTATTGTCTGGTTAAGATTTAATGCTGAAAAATTAATGTGACTTGTCATTAAATCTCAACCACACAATCCACCACTCTAGAAAATTTTAAAAAAAAAATTCTAGAGGAACCTTGCTCTCCGCCGTCTTCTCGCTCCCCTCTCCCGTTACGTAGAGCTCACTTTTCTTTTCTTTTTTGGTTTCAGTACACACAACACAACGTACACACAACACAACGACGTCATTTTGTACACTTCATGAAGAAATCACACTTCAGAGAATCCAAACGCTTTGTCCAGTCCCAATCAAACACACATCACACGTACTATCGAAAAAGGGAAGGAAAATTACACTAATAACCTGGAAGATTTCTTCAATTATCAAGACACTTCTTGAGTTTATGACAAACTTCTGACACCTCCTCTCATCTCAAAACACGATCAATCGGTGGTAAGTTGGATGAGAAGGAAGTCTCCGTTAATAGAGAAGAAGAGAGGGAGGAGGTGAAGGGAGAGGGGGAACAATATAAAGCATAAAATGGGTTGGGGGCTATATACACGAGGGGAAATTAATAATTTCATTAGGGTGCATGTAATTTTACATTGTTTGTTAACTCGATTTCTTTTTTTTATTTTTTAACATATGTACGTTGACTCGGTTAATCTTGTCAATTAACCTTGTCATTAATGTAAGAGAGGTTAGTGTAATTACAGTAAAGTTATGAGACTTATTGTAATATTTAAAAAAAAAGTAAAAAAAAAAAACAACACTACCTAAGATAAGTCAATGTAATTTACTTATAATTTTATATTACCTAAATCGAATGTGGGGTACCGGAGGAGATCCAATACCCGCACCACCCCAAAGCGGGTGTGAGTGAGAAAAATGCCTCCCTTGAATCTTCATTGGGTCGGGAAAAAACCCACCCGTTCAAGGTAGGGCAAGCCAATATTGCCAAGCCGAGAGACACATCATATAGCTTGACACGAGTGAGAAAAATGCCTCCCTTGAATCTTCATTGGGTAAAGAAAAAACCCACCCGTTCAGGGTAGGGCAAGCCAATATTACCAACCCGAGAGACATCATGTAGCATGACATGATAGGATTACACATGTAGCTTTCTTTTTATTCGGTTGGACAGTTGCCAACTCAACAGCTATTAATGTAACTCAAGGCTTCAATGGGCTCTGTAGTATAGTTTTTATAAGGTGATTATCACTTATTTTAATTTGGAAGTTTGTATTAGACTGTTTGGTATAACTTTTACTTATAACTTATTAGACAGAAATAACTTAAATAAATTGAAAAAAAAAAACTAATTATTTGAAAACTGGAGAAAGGGTGTTTTTAGTTTCTACTTTCTGATTATCAATTTTTAATTTAAAAAAAAAAACCCTCCACCTAACAGGGTCAATGAATGCTCTTACTAAGGCCATGTTTGGTTCATGAATTCAAAAAATGATTTGAAAAAGAAATGAAAAAAGACTGATAAAATATTAATAAAATATAATTACATCTTCTCGCTCCCCTCTCCCGTTACGTAGAGCTCACTTTTCTTTTCTTTTTTGGTTTCAGTACACACAACACAACGTACACACAACACAACGACGTCATTTTGTACACTTCATGAAGAAATCACACTTCAGAGAATCCAAACGCTTTGTCCAGTCCCAATCAAACACACATCACACGTACTATCGAAAAAGGGAAGGAAAATTACACTAATAACCTGGAAGATTTCTTCAATTATCAAGACACTTCTTGAGTTTATGACAAACTTCTGACACCTCCTCTCATCTCAAAACACGATCAATCGGTGGTAAGTTGGATGAGAAGGAAGTCTCCGTTAATAGAGAAGAAGAGAGGGAGGAGGTGAAGGGAGAGGGGGAACAATATAAAGCATAAAATGGGTTGGGGGCTATATATATGAGGGGAAATTAATAATTTCATTAGGGTGCATGTAATTTTACATTGTTTGTTAACTCGATTTCTTTTTTTTTTATTTTTTAACATATGTACGTTGACTCGGTTAATCTTGTCAATTAACCTTGTCATTAATGTAAGAGAGGTTAGTGTAATTACAGTAAAGTTATGAGACTTATTGTAATATTTAAAAAAAAAGTAAAAAAAAAAAACAACACTACCTAAGATAAGTCAATGTAATTTACTTATAATTTTATATTACCTAAATCGAATGTGGGGTACCGGAGGAGATCCAATACCCGCACCACCCCAAAGCGGGTGTGAGTGAGAAAAATGCCTCCCTTGAATCTTCATTGGGTCGGGAAAAAACCCACCCGTTCAAGGTAGGGCAAGCCAATATTGCCAAGCCGAGAAACACATCATGTAGCTTGACACGAGTGAGAAAAATGCCACCCTTGAATCTTCATTGGGTCAAGAAAAAACCCACCCGTTCAGGGTAGGGCGAGCCAATATTACCAACCCGAGAGACATCATATAGCATGACGTGATAGGATTACACATGTAGCTTTCTTTTTATTCGGTTGGACAGTTGCCAACTCAACAACTATTAATGTAACTAAAGGCTTCAATGGGCTCTGTAGTACAGTTTTTATAAGATGATTATCACTTATTTTAATTTGGAAGTTTGTATTAGACTGTTTAGTATAATTTTTACTTATAACTTATTAGATAGAAATAACTTAAATAAACTGGAAAAAAAAAACTAATTATTTGAAAACTGGAGAAAGGGTGTTTTTAGTTTCTACTTTCTGATTATCAATTTTTAATTTAAAAAAAAAAACCCTCCACCTAACAGGGTCAATGAATGCTCTTACTAAGGCCATGTTTGGTTCATGAATTCAAAAAATGATTTGAAAAAGAAATGAAAAAAGATTGATAAAATATTAATAAAATATAATTATAATTCACTTACTTTTACACACTTTTTTCTTTTTTCTTTCGAAATCTCTCTCTAAATTCATGAACAAAACACAACCTAAAGGAGCCCATAATGTTACGGCACACAACTGAGGTTATTCTCTCCATTTATTCTTATTGCACTTTATTTATTTAATCTAAATTTTACAGTATTTCTAATTATTACAATATTGTAATAGTTAATCCTAACATTAATGGTTTGCTTAACAAGATGGATGCTACCACTCCTAAGTACTCAAAAAAAAAATCCTAACATTAATAATCTAACTTACAATGATGGAATGAATTTCAGGCTTGACCATAGTTTAAATTGATTCAATTTAAAAATAAACTAAGGACTAATATATTATTTACGATTCTATGAAATTTAAAACTAAGCCAAAATAATGAAAATTTTAAAACGAAACCAGACCAAATCACTGAAGCGGTGAAATTAAAATTAGAATCATGGTTTTCAAAAGCATAAGAATTGTTTAAATTATCGTTTATAACTAGTTCTACCCTATCTAAGAACAGATTTGCAAAAATAGAAAGTTACAGCTTATTGTATATATTTGAATGTTTGCTGTAAATAACAAATTATATATATAAGTACATATAAATGGTCTCAAACTAAATCTGTAACCATAAAATCACAAACCAAACCATGCATTGAATGACATGCTTTGAAAATGGGACAAAGGAAGAAGACTCAGAAGAAATTACCGTTCTCTTTCACCATGCTTGGTATATTGAAGAACCATCTCTTATCACACTTCATATCCCCCCAGTTGCTTAGTATCCCTCAGTCCTCCCCTTGCTATATAAACAAGAGCACCGTCTTTCTAATAAAAATGATCAAGAAACCTCCACACAAAGATGTGCTTTCCAAAAGCTAACTCACCAATAGTCTAAGAGAACCTTTCTTACTTATGAACAAAGTTACAGCTTCAATGAAATTGTGAAAGGGACTTATTCTTTATATAAAAATTACAGTTAATCAATGCTCAAAACAGTGTAGTTTTATACCACCAAGCAAGGTATGATATTTTCTGTTTCCTAATAGACCAACCTTGCTTCTTGTTATGCCCAAGCACAGTCTGAACTCACAGTATTTTAGGGTTAAAAGTACGAGATACTCATGGTATTTATGCTTACAGCAACTAACATACATGTGAGTCAATCCCTGATATACAACATAACACCTTATGATTAAAAGGCACCTCAACAAATGTTATATGTGATGTAGACATTAGTGGACAAGCTGGGAAGAAAGAAAGAAAGAAAAAGAGGATATCTCATTTGTCTTTGTTGGGATCTTGTGGGAGATGTAAACCCATTAGCCCCAGCAAATTGGAAGCTGGACCAGGTAGTCCTTGTTGAGAAGAAAAGGAATCCAGAAAACTCTTCACAAGGTTCACATCCACATCCACTGGAGTAAACTCCTCATCCATGCTTTCCGTGGCATTTGATTTTCCATGCACATCTATGGCTTCCTTGGCGTTTGATGTTCCCTACGTTTTCAAGTTTAAGCAATACATACTAAGTAAAAATAGACAAGCCAAAAAGAAAAGAAAAAAATTCACAAATCTAAAATATGAGGGGGCAATGTAATGAAATTATAAAATTAAATAAAGCAGAAACATATCACAGAATATGACATTTTATTAGAGTTAAAATTTATGATCCCAATCTGTTTGCCTGTCTTGCATATAGAGCAATGAGACGACATTCATTTGGCCAAAGTGGCCAAAACCAAGTGTAGATAAAGCTCAGCTGAGTTGATTTTGGTTCTCCATGAAAATGAATCCAAAGAGAGAACTAACCTCATTTTTATTCACAGATTCTGCATGAACAAAACTTTTGTCAAGTGTAGTAGTCTTCAGTTCCTCATTCAGAGCATCAGAATAGGAACGCATGAATGTATCCCCTTCCTCCTCATTATTCTCGGAAGGCTCCATATCGCTTCCATCTTCAGACTCATCTACAGGTTTTAATATTTATGCAGTCATTAGAACAGAATAAATTAAAGAGGAAAACAATTTTTGTAAGTTGAACTTAAGAACAAATAATTATAAACCAAGAACTATGAGACTCACGAACTATGAAGTACCAACACTTAAAACAAGTGTCGTATCCGTGTCGGACACATGGACACTTCGAGGACACACAAACACTTCGGGGACATGTATAAGACACACTACATGGCGTGTCCTCTTATTTAATTAATTTATTTTCAGGGGACACTTCAGGAACACATTAGGGACATGTTAAGTAGTCTTTTTCCCTATTTTATTTAGTGCTTTTGATGAATGTTGAATGTCTTTTTTTTTTTTTTTTTTCCTTAGATTTAAATACTTGATAGATCATCCATAAAAAAAGATATAAACTGCAAATATTAATTTAAAAGTGCTTTAAAAAAATAGAATTAGAGTTAGTTTTGTTAATATTGATTGTTTGTAGATGTAATATTAATCTAGATAGCACCTTTTTAGAGGTTTTTCATGGTGTCAATAACCACACCCGCCAACGTCGACGCTCGAGCCGAACCCCTCGCCAAGCCCAAAGCAAATCTAACACCCCCTTTGGATGAACCCAATCAACCCCAAAGAGTGAGCAAACGAAACCCCACAAATACAAAGCCACCGATCAATGAAGAAACAAATTATCCACAGACTCCGCATCAGCATAACACATACAACACTGATTCACTAAAACATGCCCCCGCTGCATCAAATTATCCAACGTAAGATTCCAACCTAAGGCTACTGTCCACATGAAAAAAGCAACCTTAGACGGAACCCCCCAGTGCCCACACACTTTTCCATGGAAAGATTTTGCCACAGTCCCCCACCAAACCCCAATATAATGATGCTATTGTGAACCAACCCTTTGCACCCACCCCATTCCACACCATGACATCTTGTCCCACCCTAACAGTCCCCAAACCATATAAAAAACCTCACAACTCCACCAACTGATATAGACGAATTCTTGTATGTAAAGGTCACAAATAATTTTGAGCCCTCTGCATTAATGTATTAGCATAGTAATTTTCACATACAAGACAAGCAATTATCATCTTCGAGTAAAGAAATTTTACTATGAAAAGCACACCCCCCCAAAAGAAAGGCAATTGTACTTAGACAAAGCTTGTAGCATAGACAAACAATGAAAGCAACTTCTTTACACTCTCCTTTTTATTGTTTCTTTCAAGAAAAAAAAAAAATGGTTTAGCTCATTTGCCTCGCTTAAAAGCTTGCAATGCTTAGACTGTTCTAAGACAAAAAATAAATCCACTAGGAAGAAGTTAAAAGTGGCACCAATTGAAAATAAGATGAGGGAAACCCGTTTGAGATGGTATGGTTTTGTCTATTGTAGGAGTCGTTTAGGCCTGGTTTGGCTTATACTATATAAGTCAAAAAGTCAAAAAGTTACTCCAAAATCCAAAAAAGATATCACTATTCACCCAAAAAAAAAAAAAAAGAAAATTAATTTTTTTCTGCCCAAGTACACACCGAATTGACAACAAGCCAGTTGTTGTGCAGCGGCAGTGCACCTAAATGAAAGGATTGGGTGTGATTTGCACACACACCGCTGTTCGGCCTGTGGGGCCTATCACAGATTCCGTTTTGATAATCTGAACCGTTAAATGTGTAGAACTCGTCGAGTACTATATGTCTGCAAAAAATCACATTGATTGGATATCGATAACTATATGATCAAATCAGTTATGTACAACAAATGGATGGTGTTATAATTAATGATTGAAAAATAAATAAGTCTGATCAGATAGCTATCGATATCCGATTAACGTGATTTTTTATAGGTAGATAGTGTTCGACGAGTTACACACATTGAACGGTTCAGATTATTAAAATGAGACCTGTGATGACCCCCACAGGCCAAACAAAACCGTCCAATGCTTTGTACAAAAATTAGGCAATAATTTCCATAGCCAATTCACTCCAGCCGGTTGTACGGCTGGGGCCCACCTCTCACTAATCATCTCTTACACACTTTTTTTATACAATATTTTAATACACATTTTTTCATGAAAAGCTAAAAAGTTAACTCAAACTTCCATATTTTTTTCTCAACTTTTTTAGTCCAAAAAGACAAAAAGTGCACTTTTTTAGAACACCCCAAACCAGCCCTTAATCTACGTAAAGGTGGTAAACAAATAGAGGAAGACCAAGGAGAACTTGGGTTGAAGTAACAAGAGAGGTCATAACTATCTTAACTAACATATGGCTATAAATAAAAACCACTAGGAGGAAAAGGATATATAGAGCCAGACCCATATAATTGGGACAAAAGCTAAGGGGTGTTATGGGCCCTAAACAATGGAGAAGGGTTGTTTTGGAATTTCCATATTACTAACCAGCACTGGTAGCCTATCAGTTAAGAGGGCAAACTCAGTGGCAAATCATAAATACAGACTTCTAGGGTTCAACTGTCGCAGGAGTCTTCGTAACTTAATCAACACATGCGGCTTGTGGGTGATTAAAGGCATCTGGAGATTACTCTGCATGGGTAGATTGAAAGGACCCTTCCTTAGGGAGGTTCCTCATCATCAAAAAATGAAAAATGGAATTTCCATATACTTGTGTTGAGCGTTCAAGGGAGAAAAGGTTAGGGCTTCTAAATTAAGACTTTCAAATGAAGAACCAATGTTGTTAATCCTATATCGACTAGTGTATCGATTTTTCCATTGGTATGGTACATACATTTCAATTTTGATCAGTATGAATATTGTATCAAAAACATTTATATTTACTTGGAAAAAAATTTGATGTACATAATATGACATTCAACACCATACATTTTAGCATAACAAAGGCTAGCCGTAACGAATAGTTTTAGGGTTGGCCTATGCTTGAAGATCCGTCTCTAGAGCAAAGACTAGGCATGTTCTGCTTTAACCATTCAAATAATAAGCTATACATAAATGCATTAACTATACAATAATATCCATATACATATCAACAAATCAAGTGAATTATACAACAATGTTCGGTTTTTAGCATAATATTTCATGCATATAATGTAATCATATAGATTTCGTTTCTTAAGCTCCAAATGCACTTTTAATAAGGTAAGGCCCCAGGTACATCATACATTTTCCGAGTAAAACTAAGGAAAAATAAATTGAAATATAGTTCATATTGCACCACATTGTATACTTCAAATGCATCCTAGAGCAAGTCTTCAAAGTGATAATAACGACAACTGTACAAATATCGATATGACAATGCTGCTTAATAAGACACACAACATTTTCTCTAGACTTCTATTAATGTTAGTGTTACCAATCAAACCAAATCTAGAAGAGATCCCTAGAGTCTAATGAACAACAAACATAATACACACTTCTTGAAGAAGCAGAAATGGGAGACCGAACTGTAGGCAATCCTCCACAGTGTGTCGTCGATCTCACAATTTCCGTTCCCAACAGGGCCGGCCTGCCTTCCCCAAGACCCAGCCCTTGGGGAAGGCAAGGAGGACGACCACCTCAACCCTTTTGCTTTCTATTGTTTTTTAATAGAAGAAGAAATTAAGAGGTAAAAATTTATTCCCATAGTTCCTCTCATCTCCCAAAGTTATAACTGAATCACAAAATCCTCAAAAAGCAACCATTGCTGAAAATTTTCTCTAAAATTGTTATCGATTGAAATTTTCAGAGTAAATAGAAAGGCTAGAACTCAGGTAGGTTAAACTCAATCAACCTACACCGGACTCGATTTGTTCAAGATAGGGCAAGAATTTTACTTCTGTAAGCCAAACTTAGGCAAAAATTAATTAGCCCAAATTAAATTCGAGTTGGATTGGACATAGTCATTGGGCAGCTCAAGCTAACTCGCACCCAACTTCTCAGGTTATACATATTATGTATTATGTACATACATATACATAACATGTGTCTTGTAGCCACTTGTTAGATTAATAAATAAAAAAAAAAAAGAATTTAAGCCTAGCCACTTGTTAAATCTTTCATCTGGATCAAATTCCCATTTAAAAGAAAGTTTTTTTCTTGTATGTCCGAAGCAACCATTACCAGTGCCAACATCTCACCTCCACAGATCCCATTGTCTGACCTATGGTTCTCCACCCCACCCCCTATTAGAGATTAGGTTTCCAATAATGTTCTGATTTAGTTTCCTATTTTAAATTAAGGTTTCAATCCAATATATATTAGGTCTTTACATTGTAATCTTTAGCTTTGAGAATAATAATATTGAGTTAGCTAATTAAAAACCTAATTAAACAAAGATGGGTTAGCTCAAGAGTATATAACAGTTAAAAGGTGTACCAAAATCCATATCAGACGAGGACCCTTCTCCAGTATCCACATTGCTTCTGGTGTCTTCTGGAGCTTGGCATCCCATTACTGACTTGATGTCTTCCATAAAACGATCCACATCAAAGCCCACAGCTTCTGGGTTTCTTCAAAAAAGATAAGCAAAAAAATTATATATATATATATATAAATTGTTAAATTTGGCACATATGACATGAAGCTTGAAATCAGAATAGGCATCAATGCTTCAAATTTGATTTGACCACCACACTAACCGCAAGTAACTATGGCATTTTAATCAGTTGCAGCTGAAGATATTATTGACTCTATAGCCCTATAAGGAAGAAGGTACTACTTAAAACAAAAACTGGTTCATCCCACTAATAATAGATGCTAATGTTTCTTGTAGCTGCAGGTTGACCACGTAAGAAAGGCAATTACGCAAATCAACAGAGTTTTCCAATCAAAACAAAAATCAGATTTCATCTTTATCCTGCTCAATGTAGTTATGCATTGGTCACTACAGCCTGCACAGGCCATGACATCCCACATCAACATACCATCGGGAGATGAATCCAAAAAGTCCATCTTAGGCCTAATCTGAACCATTTTAAAATTTTCTTTTATCCCCTACATCTTTGAACAGCAATTTTCAAACTCAAAAATCTACTAAATTTAACATGAAAAAAAAAAAAAAAGAAGAAGAAGAAAGTTAACGAAAGTCTTGATAGCTAATCTTGAAATAAATGTTCAGAATGGCATGGAACAAATATATACATGGTAGGAGACATTTTTTGCCAGTTTATTTCAATTTATTTACTTGATTGGGTTTAGATTTTCATTTCTAAGCTAGTCTATTTACCTCAAGGTTGGAAATTATGTTGTCGGTAGAGTCCGGCATGCATTTTGGAGATTTTTTTGTCCTACCAATGGTGACTTAAAAACCAACATAAGAAATATATCTCATACTGAATTGTAGTTAAACGTTTAATAAAATTCAGTGTCATTAACAGAAAACATTGATTTATTAGACTCAGGGTCAAAAATGCTTCTCTATATTATTCATGGAAATCATCAGAACACTCCTCCCTCGTCAAATTTAAAATAAAAAATAAAAAATAAAAAATCTTGGTTCCAAAATCATGTTCATTAACATCCATTAAACCCCCTCAGCACCACAACCACACTGGCATGCATTACCACAATTAAAACTTTGCACACAATAGAAAAGGAAGAAATGGTTAAAGAATTTCAGTATAGAATAAATGGGAAACACAGACTAACCTGTTTCCAGGAACTTCTGCTCCCTTATAGCTTGACATCTTATGGACAAATGCTTGCATGGATTTTGCTATGTCTCCAAGACCAAAATCATCTGAATTTTTGTCAAATGAGGGACCAGAGTCCTGCTGCTCTTTTGACTTCTGTTTCCCATTATGTTTTGAATTAAACAGTTCCATCTCCTTCTGTCTCTCAAGAAGAGCAGCATTCAGTTCATCCTCCCCATTGTAGAGCCATGAATCGTCGTCTGAAGAAGGAAGCACCTGACCCCTAAAATCATCAGCTGAATAGGGGAGAGCAAGAATCTCATCTATACGTCTCACTGGGGCACTCATCATTTCACTGCAAACATACTCTCATCTCAGTATTAGTAGTATTAGTAACAAAAAGTACTCAAAGTTGCAGTAGTAGCACCTATAGCAGTAGCATTAACAGGTGTAGAAGCAGGTAGCAGAAGAATAAATTATAACTGTAAGGCAATAACGAATGTCATAATTGTAGTCTGTGTTACATTTCCATTTGCTTCAGAGGAAACATCCAACAATATATGCTACATTGGGTGTGAGAGTATGTGTCCAAGTGTCAAATAAGATTTATTTAATTTTCATGTCAAATACACTGGGACACAACTAGATTTCAGAAATTTTTAAATACTTTATTTTTTTGAAGGTAAAAATCCAAGTAGCATAGACACGGACACGTGACGTGACATGATACGGACACGCCAACATGTCGATTTTCAAAAAATGTAGGACACGATACACTTGGAACATGTGAAAAATTATATTTTTATAAATTTATTACATGTGAAATATATGAATAGTTTATTCAAAAGTGATGGAGAAAAAAAAAATATCCACAGCAACATAACACTAATTAAAATTAAAAAACCATATTCCATAACTTAAACATCACAATATCATTCACATAACAATTACAATCTACAGAATGCAAAACTATTGTCGAATGTAGAAATATACATGATATATTCATCTTATAAATGTTTCAAAACATATTTGAATAAGCTGTATTCCAGAGAATGTTGAACATTGTTATTATGAAGATACTCATAGCATAGGTCGTGTTTAGAAGGTTCAAGAATTGTCTGAGAAGTATCCATTACTATGAATTACATTTTTAATTAAGACACGTTGAAAAAGTGTCGGACACTCGTTTTAGGAGTGTCCGCAAAGTGTCATGTCTGACAGGACATGCCTCCTCTATAGAAATGTCCATGCTTCTTAAAATGATGTTTACAAACTAAAATGGAGCTCTTTATGTATAAAATAAAAGTCTAATATATTACATAGTCAACTCAACTACTTATGCATATTTATTGGGTGTATGTCCAAACAAGCATATGGGATGCATAAAGTGTCATAGGCCCAATCAAGATGTGTATTTTACAAATTTAGAAAAATTCATGTAACATAACCAATAACTAAGAGAAAATGGATAAGGAAAAGTACTCATGAAGTGAATGGGGCTAGACATCTTCTCAATCATAAGTCTGAACATCTTTAATTTTAAACAAAATTTACTACAGCTATAAAAAGGAGCAGATATAATAAAAAGGAACACTACCACCTATGATTTCAAGAATTTCTAAATACTTAACAAACAAATGAGATTGGTGTTGACCCAAAAGAATAGTTACAGGTTTCCAGTGATATTTACAAAATGTACTTCACTAAACCAAAAAGAAAAAAAAAAAAAAAAAGCATATACCTGGCCTTAGAATACAGAGAACTGTTTCTGTAATACTCTTGTGCATTCTCCATCAGGCGGCGATATTCCTTAGACCCTGGAAGTAGCCCATCAAAATACCCACTACTCTCCAAACTCTCGTTAAAAGCCTCCCACGCGGTCCCCTTCCCTTCCAATCCCTCCCGCTGCTGCCGCAACCGATACATCATCTCAAACCCACAGGCAATCTTCATCCCCAATTCCGCCTCCACATAAACACTTGTGTCGCTCCTCGGTGGCATTGGGTAACACTTGGGTGCCTGAAAAGAATGCTGAACTGCGCGTACATTGCTCTGGACATCCTCACAGACACTTGAACAATCTCTTCCCCACTCCCATTGCTCAAAAACTTGTCCATTTTCGCAGCATACTTCATTGAATCGATGTCGCGGTCATAGAACGCCTCCACCGCCAAGGAGATCAAGCATGGTTCGTGCTTCAACACCTGCGCTACAGATCCAGGAACCCTAACCCTAACCATATGCACATTCTGCCTGGCTCTCTGAGGATAGTCTCGAATTCGATTATTGATTGCAGACTGAACAGAATCGGAAGCTCTAGATTGATCTGCAGAATTGATTAGATAGGCTAAGGACTGGGAAAGGGTGGGAGTTGAAGGGAAGTGGGTGGTATCGATGATGTGTAACTGGGCACGACGAATGAAGACGCGGTTGGTACTGTTGTCGGGGTTAAGCCAGCGGGGGAGGTGGAAGGCGGCCTCAATGAGGAGGAAGTCACCATCGGTGTCCCAGACACGAATTGAAAGGTGAGGGAAGTGGAGGGAGACTTGGAAGAGTAAGAAGACGACGAACCACTCGTCTTCGAGGTTGTCTCCGAATCGTACCTTGCCGTGGAGGTGGGGGAAGAGTTGTTGATGTTGTTGTTGGTGTTGGGAGGAGCAGATGCAGGTGGAGGTGGCGGTGGAAAGGGAGAGAGTGAAGGGCTCGTGCTGCCATATGTAGTCGGAGGTGTGGGGAGAAAGAGAGTGGAGGATTTGGAGGTGGAGGGATTGGAGTTGGGTGGTGGTGGGGTTTTTTGGGGATTGAGAATTGTTAGAGGAGAAGTCGGGGAAGATAGAGTAGAAGACGGTGTCGTCGGGAAGTCTGGAGTTATTCTGTGAGAATATGGACGTCGAGGGGTCAGTGGCCTCTGCTGTTCCTGTTCCTGTTCCCTCCATAATCGCCTGACTGCTTCTATTGAAACGATCTGTAAATTTATTCGACAAGAGATGGGTTTAAACGAGTGATATAATTAATGATCATGAAATATTTTTTATTTTTGAATTATATTTATAATAAAATATTATATATTTATTAAATGATAAAAAAATTTTATGATAAATTTTTTGATATTTTTTTTATGATTCCTACTATTACTCATAATTTATTTGACAAGAGATTGGTTTAAACGAGTGATAGGTTTTACTAACTTAGGCCTCGTTTAGCAAATGACTTTTTTAGCCAAAAAGTCACTAAAAAAATTAAAAAGTCAACAACTCATATAAAAAAGTCAAAGATTCTCTTTTCTCTCTATTTTTTACACATCTTTTCGTAAAAAGTCAAAAAGTTATCCCAAACATACTAATTTTTTTTAGCTCATATTTTAGTCAAATAGCTAAAAAGTTATTAAATTAGCATGTTCTCAAACGAGGCCTTAGGCCCCGTTTGGGGACTTACTTTTTTAGTCAATTAGTCAAAAAGTTACTAAATTAGCCAAAAAGCCAACAACTCATACAAAAAAGTCAAAGATTCTCTTTTCTCTCTACTTTTTGCACATATTTTCGTAATTAACCAAAAAGTTATGTCAAACATACAAGTTTTTTTTACCTACCTTTTTAGCCAAATAGCCAAAAAATTACTAAATTAGCCTGTTCCCAAACGAGGCCTTACTATATGACAAATCAAAAAGTAATACTCCCCGTCTCAAAATATTAATTTTTTTTTCAAAAATTAAGAAATAAAATAATATAAATTTATTTTTTTGTTCTTTTTTTAAATTCATTAATAACACAAAAAGTATAATTATGATAATTAATATTATCAAAAAAAATATACTATCAAATGATAATTTTGAAAGATTAATATTTTTAAAATATAATAATTATACTATCAAAAAAAGTTAAATTTCTCAAAATAGACCATTATTTTAGAACGTAACGAGTATATATTATGGGGTGATGTACTAATAAATTTTAAAATAAGAACTTATGATCTATTTTGTTTTGTGTTTTTTTTTATAGACCAATAAATCGTATTATGGTGTATTTTATATATGAAGACAGTATTAAGTAGAGCGTGACTGGAATGTTAAGGGATAAATAAGGTATTTCATCCTACTTGAAATTACAAATTTGAGGTTTCTTTTATATAGTGTTTTTTGAATTTCACGTTGCAGAATTTGGAAAGATTCTAAACTCTGGTGTAACATTGGACAACAACACGGTGGTTTCGAGTGAAATGTAAATGGAAATGATACATTCCCAAATGTGACATTGGTACACGACGTTGTAAGCATTAGGGGCAAAAGTGACCAGCGACAACGAGGAGTGAGTTCATTGGCACTGGAATCCGGCATGGAATAAGACCAGTGACCGTGGTGAGAATGCATGACAATGACACATTCAGGTATGTATGTTCATGATTCTGTTAGGCGAATATAGGGTTAGTGTTCATTCAGAGCTTTCACATTAATGTGTGTTCGATGTTGTGTGTATTTATGTATTTGATGTTTATGGCGTAAATGGGTATGTAGGGTTATGGTGGAGATTACGGTGGGCTTTTATGTGAATGTTAATTCGAGAATGTTAATCTGGAAATTGTACAATGTTAAATATAGGTTGCATGCGTGTTAATGGTAACATGAAGCTAACATTCATGTAAGTGTTCCATTAGTTTGGTGTCCTGTTTGGTAAATCGTTGTACATGCCTTGTGTTTGCCTTTGACATGTAGAAATTATTGCTAGTGTATAGATTAATGTGAGGAAGTATTTTGCAAATGACGCCACGTGGCGAGGTGGCTCCAAGATGTCGACCAAGGTGTCACGTGGACAGGTCATATTGCCGAGCTAGTTGCTGTAGTACCGAGGTTCGGTGCGGTAATGCCGAAATCCCGAGATATTTGGATAAGGAACAAGAGTCCAAAGTAAGCGGAGACACTCAATCTAGATAAGGATAATGCTTTTTGGGGAGTTCATCCCTATTTGAATGAGAGTCCGAGATAAGCATTGAGCTTGAGTCATGTGAAGTGAGACTTCTAGAAGATTAGGTCATTGCTGGCTATAAGAGTAAAGCACCCTCGTGGGTCTAAGGTAGGCTTTAATTTGTGTATTGAGTACTTGTGCGAGATCTTTGAGAGATTGATTGACTGACTTAATCATCGAAATGCCCCCAGGTGGACGAACCACCGTTGTATTCTCATTTTCTTGTTGGTGGGTGGTTGGCCTAATCTATTATACCGTGTGCTCTCCAGTTGAGTTTCCTATTTGGTTGTGATCGGAAATCATCACCCACAATTTGGTGCCGTTTGTGGGAACTTAGCATAGAATAGATGGCCAACAACGGGCAAGGAGAGAGAATTGAGGATGATCTTTATAGTGAGGAAGAGGAACATATTGGTCCTAATACTGAAGGAGGGAACAATAATGAAAAAGTACAGGGGGTCAACCCCGAGACCAACAATGCCAGCAAGGGCCGAGGCGTGAACAAGAATGGTAGTCGAGATGAATACTACCACGAAGGCGATCTCCAGGTATGGGAGGATAAGTGCCTGAGAAGGGATGGGGAACTGAAAGACATGGCAAACAAGTTGACAAACCTACAGAAGGTAGTTAACTTCATGATGCAGAGCAACGTGATGCAACCGGAGTTTCCTTTACAGGACACACTGACTTTAGTAGCTAAGGACGATGCCTAGAAGGAAGGATAGAAGACAGTACCCACAATCCTGCTGCATGCAAACGGATAGGGAAATTCACATCGGCAATCCCGAGATGTCGGACAGACAGAGTTTGTGCGAGAGTCGCAGAGGACACCACGGACCAAGGGGACCTATGTTAGGGGATCTCAGCAGATCCAATAACAAGGCCTCTATTTTGATGATGTAGTGGACATGGAGAAGTCCAAGAGAACGCACCCTTACACCGGAAGCAGTGCGCTAAAAAGGTTGAAGTCAATTAATAGTCGAGCTCCCAGACGAACGAAGGAGGACCTAAGAGATTACCTCCAAAGAAAGAGACACAATGCCGAGATCACATCAAACGTCCAGCCGAAGACGCCATTCTTGATGGAGTTAGATGTTTTCGAAGCACCAAAGAGCTTCAGCATGCCGAGGTTTCAACTTTATGTTGGTAAGTCTAACTCGAATTTTCATGTCAACTTATATTTAAATTCAATGGCTTTGTGGAGTGGGAACAAGCAACTATTGTGCAAAGTATTCCCGTCGTCATTCGGGAGAAATAGCATCAAATTGGTTCCATAAACTTCTGAAAGGATGCGTGAAGAGTTGGGAAAGCCTTGCCGAGATGTTTGTGGCTAGGTTTGTTACGAACAAGTTGTAACCACTAAGGATAGACTCCCTATTGACTTTGAAGATTAGCGATGGCGAAGGTCTTAGGGCCTACACCAAGAGGTACTATGAGGTTTACAACTGGATTCCGGCTTGTAACCAGAAACTCGCAGACGTATCTTTTAAAAATGGCTTGGAAGATTATTACCCACTCAAGCAGTCGCTTGCAAAGACACTCCATAAGAGCATGGAAGAGTTAATGGTGCGGATAGAAAAATATGCCAGGGCAGAGGAAAACAAGAAGGGAAAGAAGATACTAAAACAAGAAAGAAGAAATGGCTCACCGAAACGAGGCCGAGGAAATACCGGCGTTGACAGATCAAAGTTGGGGTTGGGATCCATACAAGCAGTAAGCACAGTCTTCAAGATCCCCGTCTATAAGGTCTTGGAGAGAATTAGGAACCAGCCATACTACAAGGCGCCATAGAGGGTCCCGGAGGAGTTCATAGGCAAGAATCCTGGGAAACGTTGTGCCTACCATGAGGAAAACGGGCACATGACATGGGGGTGCCGAGCTCTGATGTCGCACCTAGAAGATTTGGTTAGACAGGGACACCTGAGAGACCTTATCGATGAAGCAAAAACAAGAAAGGAGCAAGTAAGTTGGCCCAGGCACCGGCAACACCACCACCTCCACCACTGCAAGCAAAGGGGCCATGGGTAATCAATGTGATTCACTCGAAGGTCAACGAGAACGAAGTTCGAGGGGATACTCAGAGCGTAAGGTATCTGCAACATGTCTACTAGGTCCAGCAGAAAAATCCAGGACAAGTGGACATCAGAGGCCAATGATATCTTTCACCGAAGAAGACCCGGACATGGTTCAGTATCCACACAACGATGCACTGGTGGTGACATTGAAGGTTGAAGATTGCTAAGTGAGGTGCATTCTGATTGATCAAGGTAGCTCTTGTCACATCATGTATGTCAGATGTTACAAGGAGTTTGGCTTCTACAAGGATGATCTAAAGCAATCTGACAGCCCTATGGTCAGATTCAATGGGACGCCGACATGGCCTTTAGGAGCCACGAGCCTAGAGGTGTAGGCAGGGAATAAGAAGGTAATTACAAAATTTACCATAATAGATACTCCCTTCCCATACAACATCATTCTGGGAAGACCTTAGCTGCATGCAATGAGGGCTGTTCCCCTCAACGTTATACCAACTATTACAATTCCCAACTGAACAGGGGATTAAAGAAATAAGGGGAGACCAAGTACAGGCGAACAATTGTTCCATAGCAGCAATGAAGTACACATGTAGTGTAAGGGTTGTGGAGACAACATAGATTGAAAGTGAAGACCACGAGGTCTTGGATGATGTTGGCAAAGAGCCAGCTGACAAGAGCAAAGAGCCCTTAAAAAAGGTTCTTGTACAGTAAGGCGATGAAGAACGATTCTTCCTCCTCAGCTCTGGTTTAGCTGAGGAAGAAGAAAGGAAACTGGAAGTCTTTCTGAGAGAAAACATAGAACTATTTTCTTGGACAACCTATGAGATGCCGGGGATTAGTCCTAAGGTTACCTGCCACAAACTTAACGTGGACAGGACGGCCAAGCCGGTGATCCATAGAGTAAGAAGACCAACTTTGGTCCATGTGTAAGTAGTAGAAGAGGAGGTGGAAAAGCTGCTAGTGGCACAAGCGATCCAGGAAGTAAATTACC